CTGGAAGTATATAACTACACTGTATGCATAAACAATTCCTCAACACTTCAACAACAATCTTCATAACCATTTCTGTTTATTCCAACATATGGTTTTAATACAATAACTTAAATGTAAGTTGATTAATAATAACTTAAGATGAGTCAATAATGTTATCAAACACAAACTTTCTCGTAAACACATCCCTAAGGTTAGTTTGTCCATTTTGATTCATTCAAGCAATTTCAATTTTTTTCTTAAAAATTCAACACACTTAGAGACACAAAGGTTGAGAAATAGAGGTTGTGAAATGATGAATTACATTGAGAAAATACCACAGCACATAATTACTACTTGTATTTCATTATAGGCTATAATCCTTCGTTAACAATGGTTGTACAGTTTCATCTGCGCCCATCTCATCATAGTGAGTGAGTGAGTTGGGTTTTATGCTGCTTTTTGTAATATTCCAGAATATCACGGTTGAGACACAAACACTCGTACCCCTAGTTTTTTTGTTTGTTTTTTAACAGCGCTTAATTAAGGCAACACATAAAGACTACTGTACTTAACACTTTTATATCTAAAGAAATATTCAGAAGTTACATATGTCAATAAAGTGGAATTGGTAGTTTGTTATTTGTTTGATATTTAACATAGCATATCACATTATTATGCCTCAAGTGAGATTGACCAATCAGAGAGCAGAACTACTAACCCTATATGAGCCGGTATACCATCAGTAAAAATCCAAGATGGTTGTCACTGACCTAATAAAAGACCACATATATATTATAGAGTAGTCAACTCAGGATGTCAGTTGAATAGACCGAGGGCTTCAGCAAACCGTTACCGTTACTGTTATTATAGCTAAAATGGATTAAATTTGTAACAAATCCCTTAAAACACAAAACAACAAACAGCAGCATACTTTCACAACGGAGGTCACTGATTTACAAATAGAAACATCATATAACCGATAGCAGCCCGTGGTTAAGGAAAAGTGGTCTGCTCTCATCTTACAGAGGCATGCAGAATTATGATAACATGCGCCTCGCCCAATATTTTTCTGCAAACCTAACATGACACTGTATACAGCAACTAAAGACACCATAACTTGTAATATTCCAGATATATAACTGCAGCCTGAAGATACTGAAGTCTAGACCAAACTAGGAGCAGTGCCCAAGGTCTTCGGGGAATCATGACACTCCATTGACCAAGTCTCAGCTTGACCACCCTATCCCTTTTGTTGACTCTAATTACATGCATAGGTTGTTGGGGAAATATTTTTACCCAGAATCCCCACAGGATAGTAGAGGTACATGTAGTAGGTAATAAGACTCTTGGAAACCGTTACTTCAGCACAAGCAATCTCTATCAAAATGTACATGCTACAATTCCGATTTTACAGGTTGTCCTCTCAATTATTCCTCTTTGGGATAGTAACGCTGAAGGGGACGTTGTCGGAACTACAGAAATGTACGCCATGTATGTTTCTGTGTACAGAAATGTAGCCAAGTCAAAATCAAAATACAGAAATGTTGCCTAGGATGAGTCTATTTCGCCGCAGGGCCCAGGGCGCAATGATCATAATGGTTTCTTTGGGTATTCGTCTTGTCTTGCACTCGCAATCAGGCGAACCAGAACCACAACATGAACCGGTTTCAGTTTTGGTTGGGGAATATGGACTCGTCCGCCGTTTAGGGTACCAGGTATGTTTCTGTATTCTAATTTTGGCTGGGGTACATTTCTGTAGTACCCGTGCCGACAACGACCCCTTTGGCGATAGTAACTTGTGACCTTCCAGGCTAGTACAAGACATAGGTTATTCCTTGATCTGACAACTTTAGCTATCACCTTCCAATCACCATTCTATATTGAGGACTTTTGACTAGGAAAAAGACTTTGGCACATAAAGAGTATCAAGTTTGTATTTTATAAGGATGTACATGTATTTCCTGAAGACATATTGAACACTTATGTACTTTATCATTCAACAGAGCATAAAAGGCCCCTTGTTTTGGGTATGAAAAACTGATACAATGCGTATTTCTAATAAGGACACTTACAACACAGGTTATTTGCCCAATACAAACATCAAACTCATTTGAAGTATTTTTTTTCCTGGCTATATAGTATATAACTTTCAGGAAACTAGTATATCTAAGAACATGCATAGCAAACTGATTCTAAGGTACAATTGAATATTAAATTCATTCCAAGGCTTTTTTCCCCAGCTATATATAATAACTTTCAGGAAACTAGTACATCTAAGAACAGGAAAAACAAACTAATTCTAGGGTATAAACTACCAAATATGATTAATTATGAGAAAACATGAGGAAAATTCTGTTTTGCTGATGTGGAGATGGAAAGATCTGATTGTGCATTCAAAGTATTCCAGGAATACAATGTATAGATAACATAAAAAAACAGAAATACTCTACGACGGTTCAGAGGATAAATGTTGATTATTAGCATGATTAGAGAATACATGGGGGTTTAATACACTGCACACAACACTGCCAAACAAATCAACTTCACAGAACTAAATAACTTAAATATGGCTGACTGAACACATGGACTCCACATAATCAGATGCTGGTAAACAGATAACGTGATTCTTCGTTCCACCCAATTCCTTTATTCATCATCATGACAAGTTTCATTTAAGTAGGAGCTCCAAATAACTCGTTACGTTTCGTGGGCTTGTTGACATACGCAGACAATTTGATCACGTAACTAAAGGGACCACAAAAAGGACCTAGTTCCGACCACTCACTGCAATCAACCAGCTGCTGGTTCAGATGTCAACTAAGATTTAACTTGTTTGTTTGCTGTTTATCACCACACTCAGCAATATTCCAGCTACATGAAGGCCACATGTTATTATGGAGTCTGGACCAGACAATCCAGTGATTGATATGACGAGCAGCTTCCCATGCGGTCGGGGTACGATGACACGCAATCAACAAGGTGAAGGCTGGCCTCCCCGTCCACTACTTCGCCTCTTACAACAAGCATGGGTTGCTGGGGACATGTTCTAACCCAGCATCTTTATGTGGAACTATTTGACTGAAATCTGATTTCAAAAGAGAAATTAATGCAGCATGCATGCATAACTGACCCATGCCAGTCATTCAGGACACAACATATGGGTTGAATTTGTTAGAATTGGATGGATTAGTAGCTTTTGAGATCCAAGATGTCCCTCTTCACCTTGAATTGAGGTTACAAATTTATGAGTGAGTTTGTTTGGTTTTTTGTTATCTAACGCCGCACTCAGCAATAGTCCCGCTATATGATGGCGGTCTGTAAATAATCAAGTCTGGACCAGACATTCCAGTGAATGACATCATGAGCATCGATCCATGCAATTAGGACCAATGACATGCATCAACCAAGTCAGTGAGTCTGACCACCCGATCTCGTTAGTCGACTCTTACGACAAGAGTGAGTGATTGAATTGGGTTTAACTTTAACACACATTTCAGTATGAATCCATCCATGTCTCTGCATGGTGCACCAGAGATGGGCTGCACATTCGTTTGTCTGTCTGCTTTTGTTTAACGCCGCACTCAGCAACAATCCGGCACAAATGTTCCCATACTCGGCATCAAACATAGGTCTTCAGGTGATGGGACATCACTAACCACCAGGCTAACTAACCCCACTTTTATAATGTACAAGGTATTAAGCCTTGAAGAGTAAGTAAGCACCAACAATCTCCATCAGGCCGGACTAATTATGATTCTTGTAAAATTTTGGTACAAATCTCTGCAGTTTGCAGAAGAAGAAAAAACAAAATCATTCTTATTACTTTGAAATCTTATGTTTTCCAGTTGATATTTCGTATATGCACTCAACATATTGAATGTAAAAATACAAGAAACAGAATTGGTGTGACCTCAGATGACATCCTGAGTGTCTATATTTGAGACATGCTATTTGGCAAGTTAAGGTTACCCCAATAGCTAGCATATACGGTAACATGTCTGTACATGTTTAAATGCTACTAACTAACTGAGAATATGCTTGTGTTAACATGTTTGTTATTAACTAACTGAGAATGTGCTTGCGTCTTGTGTTAACATATTATTAGCTGAAAATGTGCACATCTTGTGTTAACATGTTATTAACTGAGAATGTGCTTGTATCTTGTGTTAACATATTAACTGAGAATGTGCATGTCTTGTGTAAACATGTTATTAACTGAGAATGTGCATGTCTTGTGTTAACATGTTATTTACTGAGAATGTGCATGTCTTGTGTTAACATGTTATTAACTGAGAATGTTCATGTCTTGTGTTAACATGTTATTAACTGAGAATGTGCATGTCTTGTGTTAACATATTATTAGCTGAAAATGTGCACATCTTGTGTTAACATGTTATTAACTGAGAATGTGCATGTCTTGTGTTAACATGTTATTAACTGAGAATGTGCATGTCTTGTGTTAACATGTTATTAACTGAGAATGTGCATGTCTTGTGTTAACATGTTATTAACTGAGAATGTGCTCGTCTTGTGTTAACATGTTATTTACTGAGAATGTGCTCGTCTTGTGTAAACATGTTATTAACTGAGAATGTGCATGTCTTGTGTTAACATGTTATTTACTGAGAATGTGCATGTCTTGTGTTAACATGTTATTTACTGAGAATGTGCATGTCTTGTGTTAACATGTTATTTACTGAGAATGTGCATGTCTTGTGTTAACATATTAACTGAGAATGTGCATGTCTTGTGTTAACATGTTATTAACTGAGAATGTGCACGTCTTGTGTTAACATGTTATTAACTGAGAATGTGCACGTCTTGTGTTAACATGTTATTAACTGAGAATGTGCATGTCTTGTGTTAAAATGTTATTAACTGAGAATGTGCACGTCTTGTGTTAACATGTTATTAACTTACTGAGAATGTGCATGTGTGTCTGTGTTAACATGCTATTAACTAACAGAGGATTTGTACATGTCTTGTGTTATCATGCTATTTAATAACTGAACATGTGTGTGTGTTGTGTTAACAAATGTCTTTTAATGGAGAATTTGTACATTACATGCATATGAGAGGTAAAATATAACCTCCTCCATGATTAGGATATCTATGTGATTAAATACAGAGAAACAAATATCCATAAATAGTATTAAATACACAATCAGTTGTACAGGAACTGGTAATAATAGGATTTTATTACATATGTTAATAGTGAACTTTTATTTTTCAGTACTATCAAACACATTAAAAGAGGTCCTGCTGTCCATGCATAGTGATTAGCCATGTGAAGTTAAATAAAATAAATACACATTTGGTCAACAAGCAAATGAAAAACTAAGCAAGCCCTTCCCACTCACAAACTCTTTCCACTTATTGTGAACTGAGGTATGTCCAGCGGGGCCTAGGATTTCATCGGAAAAAATAGATTGTGAAAGAAAATGTTTGATAATTTGTAGCTTAATACTATTAGTTACAACATCCCAGCACCCCTCCATACAACATCCCAACCCCCCACCCCCCAATATCAAATGGTTGGTCCCTGTAGAACATTATGGCAGTAATATATTATTCCCGATGGTGAGTGTGTACCCTGTGTGACACTCTGCACTGAAGCCCGAAGACAGGTTCCTGGTTGTCTAGACGTTGCATCCCCTTTATGAGATTACTTTAAAAGATGGTACTTGTTGTTACCATGTCTGGCGCTTGGCATAAATGGGCTAAAATAAGGACCTGTCGGCTCGGAGTCAGTATACTGTGTCTGAGTGGGGTATTCATGTTAAACCGAGCATGGTATCTCAGATAGCTAGCACTACAAATTGGCATTAGTCCGGACTAGCACAAGCAGCCACACACACACGTCGCTATATAAGTGCAATAATCTTGGACGCAACGTTAAACCCAATTTCACCTCACCTCACCTATTCTGATGATACTATTTAAGCCAACAGCTTTATTGGGATTCCCATCTTCCAAGGTCAGATATCTGTGCACAAAGCAGGTAATGACTGATTTTCTTTTTTTCAATGTCAAATAGAACACATACTGAAACAAATATCTAATATTACTTCTTAAAGTGACATCTTATCTAGACTCATCAAATCAAGGATAATCATCCCTGGAGCCTTAATTAATCTGGACATCACACACTCGTTTATTATCTCAAATAAAGGCCTATTTAACAATCCTTAAAAGGAAGACTCTGTTTAGTGCTCCCCCTCTCCATTAGTACACGATAACTACACGATCATGACAAAACAGCTGTACACAAATTTGACCTTTCCTTCACAATCACTGTACCCTTTACACATTGATGTTCGTCACATACTCATCGTCTTCCTCACCCTCATCCCCACCTTCCATTGCCCTGTTGTTTTCCTCCACTTCCTCGTTATCTTCCACGTCGTCAGTCCCAGCAGCCACTGCTCGGTTGTAACTGTCAAAGAAGTTCATCATCTTCTTAGCCCCACACTTATATGGAGCAGGATCTACACTTGTACCACATCCTGAGGGGCTTTCAACAATATGTCCTTCACCTTGGTCAAAACCAATATTATGACCTTCACCTTCAAGGTTATGACCCTGACCTGCAGGTAACCCCGAATACTCAAACCCTTCACTTTCTCTGTGACAAAGATTTAGATTTCTTTGGCCAATGTTTGGTCTGTAAGGAATATGGCTTCTCCCTGGGAAACTTGACTGTTGCTTTTCCGCAATGTTATACATGCGAGAATGTTCCCTGGAAGCTGTGTGGTCAGGAAGGGACTTTGACATCTGTCTGGAAGCTGTGTAAGTCTGAGAAGTGCTTGTCTCCGTCTGCTGATGAGGCACAGGGTACTGAAAGGGGCGTTGCTGCCGTGCCATTGGCGACAATGTTTCACTGACCTCCAAGACTGGAGACGGGCTTCCACTTACACTGTGTGAGTGAATTCCACCTGGCATGGAGCCACCCTGGAAGTCAGGGGAAGCACTGCTAACAACACAACCAGTCCTTGACAAATTAGCAGGAATCATCGTCGGCTGGGACTGATTTCCAAAATAGTCCAACCCTGACCCACTCAAACAAGCACCTCCTTGAACTCCTTCGATATTCAATCGTGTAAACCCATCTTGGACCGAATTAACATTCATCTGATGCACACCCACCATGTACTGGTGATTAGATACGTTCTGCTTCTGGCCACAGGAAACCTGACTCTGTTGTCCAACATTCATCTGCCCCATATTCTGGGCACTGCTCCCATGATTCAGACAGTACCCTGACACCTCCTGTGGTGCAACTCTATCACCATCCTGCGAGAGGACAGGCATTGTGGGTAATGGCCTCCCACCCTCCCCGTACATCAACCCAGATGAAATAGAATCCTTAGAATCGGATGAACTCTGGCGTTCAAATTCATCCATCTTCCTCAGTTTGGCCGGATCAGACACAGGAAGATAGTCATTGTCCACCTTCTCTGACGATTCCTCGGGTTGTCGTGTCATCGGTTTCTCCTTATCAAACTGCTTCAGGGCGGCAAGTTTACGTGGATCCGACTCGAGAATTTCAGAATTTGCACCGACATTCAATGAATTCCTCCCACTCAGTTCCTCATCAAACCGTCTCAATTTATCCACTTTCCTTGGATCAGAGTCAAAATTGTCGCACAAAGAACCACCCTGATCTTGCTTATTCCTTGCTTTTATCCTGGCAATCTCATCAAAGTCGCCACTGAATCCATCCTTCCTTGCATCGGCAATCATCTGAAGTCTCAGGGATTCAGGCAGCTGTGCTGGAAGAGACACACTCTTCTGTTCATCGTCAATACTGTTGCCATGCTTTTCATAGAACTGCGCAAGCTTGAATGCCAAAGGCAAGTCTTTTCCTGATGTCTGCCTGAAGAGCTCAAGTGGACTTAATGGTGTGTGTGAGATTTCTTCTCCTTTGGGATCAGTAGGGTGGGACAACTCCCCTGGGTTTGTTGCAAGGACTGGGTGACTGTAGTTATCTCCGCTGGTCACAGACAGGTTAGCAGACATGCAGCTACTCTCCGACACTGTAAAATTAAAAATAAATTGAAGAACTCTTGTCAAAAGTAGTGATTACTTTGATTCCAATCAGGTTTGATTTTTCCATTTGCAATTCAATTGTTTAAGTCCAGAATACTATCCTGCTATGCATACTCTGTCCCTAGTCTTAGTCATTGATAACCGCAGATTAGGGAACAACATAACGTGTAATACCTCATAACAACTAATAATTACTACTTCAGATGGATTATATAGAACAGTTGCCTTACAATGCTTTTACCCTGCCACTTATGGATAAAATCCAGACTTTGAGAAATAGAAAAAGAGCAAAAAACATTGTTATCACTGTGAGCAATGAAACTTACAAGTAAACATTACCTCAAAATTAAAAATTAAAAAAATGGCTACACACAACAGTGGGGGAACCAGTGTGGGGGGTGGGTTCTTTTTTTTCTTTTTTTCTTTTTACATCTGATGGTATTTTGTATGCACAATGTTATTACTGTGAGCCATGAATCTTACAAGAAAACATTACCTCAAAATTAAAAATTAAAAAATGGCTACACACAACAGTGGTGGAACCAGTGGGAGGGGGTTCTTTTTTTTATTTTATTTTTTTACATCTAATGGTATTTTGTATGCACAATGTTATTACTGTGACCCATGAAACTTACGAGGAAACATTTACCTCAAAATTAAAAATTAAAAAATGCCTACACACAACAGTGGTGGAACCAGTGGGGGTGGGGGTGGGGGGGGGGTGGGGGGGGGGTGGGGGGGAGGTGTTCTTTTTTTTTTTTTTTTTACATCTGACAGTATTTTGTATGCACATTGCCTACCATGACAACATGTTGATGTGGATGTTAAAGCAAAATTCATGATGGCTTACTGATTGTGTTTGTGATTTTTTGTGTAGCCTTTGGGTTGATTCCACACCTCCCACCCCACCCCACAAACATATACACTGAAGTTACAACTGTCCCAAGTGCTCCCCCCCCTTTTGTAAAATCCTGGATCCGCCCATACATTGTGTTTTGTATGAAAGGCAGCTCCTCACAGTGTTTTGACCCTCCCTCATTTCTAAGGAAAACAATGTCTTGAAGCAGAAACTGAAAAAATATCCTGTCCCTAACAAAAGAAATAGGCCCCTACAAGTACATGAAACAGTCAGTGTCAAATATCCGGTTTTCTAATCCCTGATGTAAAGAAATCAACGTACATGTACTCTGTGCTTCCCTCCATCGGTCTTCAATTGACTCCAAAAGATGAAGAAGCTGAAACAATACAGACATGGTAATAATCCTACGTTCATTCATCAAGACTACATCTAAGTTACAGTGGAGTGTTTTTCGGGGATTGTATCAGGCGGTCGGCTTGAAATGTACGGCTTGTGCACTTCTAGTGTACTTGATGATTGTTTGTTGTTTAACGCAGCACTCAGAAAATTCCAGCAATACGACAACGGCCAGTAAATAATAACATCTGGACAAGATAATCCAGTGATTGATATTCGCAACATTCCACACCTTCGGGGTACGATGACAGATACGATCCATTATGTCGCTTCTTATAACAAGCAAAGGTTTCTGGGAACCTATTGTATGATTTTACAGTTGAAATTAAAGCAATATTGAGGACTGCTGCATCGAGGTTGAGAATGATACAAAGAGTATACTACCTAAGTGCGTTTCCATATTGTATAAAAAATACATTAGGAAAATATATGCACCAGCAAGCATGATGGGAGGAAAGCCCAAAGTGATGCAGGTCTCGTTTACCACATTGGCGAAATTACAAACACAGGTATTGTGCTGACAAATCTAGAAACATACTCAAAATGAATTTGGATTCGAACCCAGATAGTTTTTAGCATGCCTAAGGGACGCACCTCTGCACAGGGAATTAGACAGCCTGAGACAGCTGTGCCCCACATGTCCCACTCTCCTACCCAGAGTTCCATGCGGCCGGCAGCCAGCTAGCATAGTACCTCTGCCACAGGCCAGCGCCATGTGACGATTCGTCACATCTTTCACAGTCCATTCAAGATATTGCATCCGTTTCATGTTTGACAAGTCTACACATTTTCATAAACAAATGTCAAAGAATGGTTAACTTTTATTGAGAAAGTATGCAAATACGTAAAAATCTACTTGTTTTTGCGTAGTTATCCTATGTTTACATTGGTTGTACGGCTCCACGTGCTGTCATCGAAGCCCAACGGAGAGCTAGCGACACGGTCACTTTGATGCATAAATATATATTGTCATGCAACTCACTGTCGCAGTTGTAGTAGCAATATGTAAAGCGCCCCCAAATACTTGCATTAGTCCGTTTTATACTGATTTCTGAAAAAGCGTGTTTGTTTACAAACAAGAGAAAAGTCCGGTCACGTGATATGCAAATTAGCCTGTGGCAGTGGTGTTATGCTGAGTCACCACTGCGATGGAGTGTGCCACATGCCCATGCAGAAACATGTGTTTACCTTCTCCATCTCGATCCTGACTTTCTTGGTTCCCTCCACAGCCTTGGATGCACAACTCATGAGGTCAATGATGAATGTCTCAGAACACTCTCCAGCACGCTTGTCGCGGAACAACCGACACAATTTAGACTCGTCTCCCTTGGTCTCATCTTGCATTTCTCCGAAGTAGCTTGTCTATCAAGTGGAACATACATAATCAGGTTGTATTATGGATGCATTGGCTTTGTCAATGTCAAAGGTATATATTAAAATATTGATAGTTTCGTCAATTCTGACTTTCACTATTGATGGTTTCAGGGACCGGTCGTTTATCATAGGAGGGATGGGTCAGAGGGAATCAGGTGAGGGTCACGAAAAAAGTGAGTCCCTATGGGAGGGTCATAAAAAATAATACACATATGTGGGAAGGGTCATGAAAAAGTGGAAATTTTAAAATAAAATGTAATAATAATAATAAGTGAATTTATAATGCGCCAGATTCAATTCACCAAGTGGATGCTCATAGCGCTACACTATTATTACCCCGGTCAATGGATCAGTGAGCACTCGATTTTCATTCTCAGCTCCCTGGGGAGTATACAACCCAAGCTGCCTGTGAGGCGCTAGAAGGTTAACAGCCACATTACCATCTCATCCTACCGGGTACCCACTCAATGCTGGGTGAACAGATGCACATTTCGAACAGAGTCACTTGCCTAAGGAGACACCACATGTGGTACATGTGCTTCAGTGTTGGGCAGGACCGAAGCCCTAGAAACTCTCAGGAGTCAAGCTGCTGAACGTGGTCACCCATCCAACTACTCTCCGCGACCGGCGTTGCTTAACTTCACCTGATTTGTGATCTGTGCGCTGTGCACAGGACCACGTGCCACCATGTAAAGAGTTTTTTGCATTTTGTCTTTTCAGGGAGGGTCATGAAAATAATGTAAATGGGGAGGGTCATCCAATAATATGACAAGGATTTGGTGATGTGGTTACAGACAGCAGACTTTTGGAACATCATTGTGTTGACAGCAAGGGACATAACTCCTGCTATAATATCACCAATCAGGACCACTGAATAAACCAGACTAGATCACACAAGTCCAGTTTATACAGGTTCCACTGTATAGAGCAAAAACCATTAATCAGAGCTGTCAACTGAATTTTGTTGAAAACAGCAGCGTGACATCAAGTTCAACACTACAATATATTGTGAGAGGGCTGCCACATTGCAGCCATGTTGTCCAACTGACTTGACATGCACTAGGCCCTAATGAGTGAAGGTGACCTCACTGTAACTTCAGCAAAAATTCTCACCAAAAATTTATTATCGCTTTCCCTTCTTTCATCGTTTGCCTTCTCCCCACTACACAGTTCCAGTAACACCTGCAAATACATGTAAAACAGAGCTGAAAAACAAATAGTCTCAGCATCTTTTTGTGACAACTGTATGGTACAATTTTCTTACAGACTATCTAGTCAAGGACACCTCCTAGCACTAACAGATTTCAATTTTAAACAAAATACTTGACTTTAATCCACTTAACTCCTACACAAGTACATTCAAGATATACTACTCAAAAGATATTAAAAAACACCCACATTTTTTCTTTGACTATAGTTAATGTCATGGCCATTGTCATATGAAACATCTGGTGTTCCTTAACATCTTTTGAGTAGTATATCTACATTCTGCACACTTCTCAACCACTTGCAATTTTTGTTACAACATTTTCAAATTTCTGGAGACAGTAAAAACACCCTAAGGCCAGAAATATTTATATTTTTGGGATGACTGATTTTTGTATAAAATATGGTTGGTAGGCAAAAACATTTATCTAATTTCATTTTAGTTCTTGATGGTTTTATTTAAATATTTTGCAATGCAAGCAGTTTTTATTAAGTCAGATCATCAATCTACAATTAAACATAATGTATGCACAAATCTATTGAGGTGAATTTGTAAGTTTGCAGTCTGTAAAATATATAAAAGAGCAGTGCTTTTCAGATTATTTTCTTCCACTTTTCATTCTTTAAAACTTGGAGGATCTTTACACTAATGTGCTAGGCAACGATCAGGATTTTTCAGTAGTCCATAGAAAGTCATCGCCATCAATTAACATCAAGAAAAATGAACGCAATTTGTGCCTGATTTCTTTGTCCAATCAGAGAGCCCCAAAAATAACAAGAGATCAACGCTGTTATTATTATATTATTATCTGTCTTTTTCACAAATTTTCCGATAAGGGACTAATACTTCATAACTCACCACGCCAAATGCATAGATGTCAGTTTTGACAGACATGCGTCCTCCGGCCCTTAAAAGTTCAGGCGCCAGATACGCCTTGGTGCCGTAGATTTTGGAAGATGCCTGTTTCTGTGAGATGTGAGTAAACCTCCCCGTGAGGACGCCACTCGTCTTGCTGTTGGCATACTGTGCCTGTCCCAGATCCCCGATCTTGGCTTCAAAGTGCTTGTCAAGTAGTATATTGGCACTGGCAGACAGAAACAGCAACGATGGATGATTTATTGAAGATTTGATGAATGATATTGAGTTGAAGAAAAAGTGGAGAAAACATGACACAACTGATATTGACTGTGTATTGTATGGCTAGGTGGATGGAAGGCTTAAGGGCTGAAGTGAGTAGGGTTGTAATGAAATATTGACGTCCATCCTCAATTTGTTTGCGTAAAGGATACCAATAGCTCTTCATGTCACCATGTTCAAGTGACTGTGTCAAGAATGTTGTTGTCGTTGTTTTAAGTGTTTGAGAGGTCGCCTTCTGCCTTAGCAATTCTGGCTGACTTGTCCCTCTTTGGGACTCATGTGTGTGAGTAGGGTACACATAAGTTTTTGGTATTCATAGAATATCTATTTTTGTATTGATATGATTTCTATTTTTGTATATTGATATAATTTCATTATTATGTTTTGCTGCTCCGTTTTAATATGTTCGAGTAGCTGTCCATCTCTCAGAAATAGAGTTAGTTTGGCCTTCGCTATTGCATCTCTTGGCTTTAGGAGATCTACGACAGATAGCGAATCTAACTTCAATTCTTGTTTTAGCCGAGTCCGGGCTGGGGCGTGGTCTTAACATTCCAGTAACAAGTGAGCAATGGATTTAGGTTGATTGCAAGATGGACAAACCTTGTCTTGTGCTTTTTTGTGTGTGACCAAGACTGAGGTGTGAGATGGCAATTTCGACTTTTCTTTCATTTGAGTATGAGTAAGGCTTTTGGTGGATCTTGGGTTGAATTTTGTATAGCCATCTGCCGATCTTACTTGAATTCCACTGGGCTTGCCATCTTTGGGCTATGGAGGCTTTGGTTTGGCTTTTTATCTCTAATTTATTAAAGGGAATAGGCTGTACCTCTGCTTTGTCTAGAGCTAGCTTCGCCAGTGTGTCAAGAAGGTGATAACTTACCTCTTTATGTCGCCATGTATGAGAGGCTTGGCGCCAAACCGATGTAGGAACTGTAGACCTCTAGATGCTCCAGCTGCAATACTGATTCTTTTGTCCCAGAGTAAGGGTGGTGTGTTGTCCTGGCAACCAATTTTATGCAAAATGTTCATATCCAACAAAACACATTAACATTCACCCCCATCCATTCCATTCTCAGCCCCTTCCCAGCTCTATCAGCCTATACTCATCCCATTTTGAGCTCTAGCAGACTATACTCATCCCATTTTGAGCTCTAGCAGACTATACTCATCACCTCTCAGTTCTATAGCAGCCTATACTCACCCCTTCTCACAATCTGATAAATATGCAAATGAGGTCGCCTAATAGGAACTACTTTCTGTAGGCTCTGTACATCTATGTGATGTCTACTTCTTCAAAGTCTCTTGCATAACAATCCCTAAATCAATAGTTCATGGTTTCACGATGCGTAAGAGCTTATGTAAGTACACATGACTGCAAATCATTGCCACTATATTATGACTGAGGCAGATCACCCATGTTACAACTGAAAAACATTGTGTCTTTAAGCATGACATTTAGGTGTGAGTGAGTGAGTTGGGTTTAACGCCGCTTTTAACAGTATTCCAGTTATATCACGGCATGTCAACTTAATGTGGGAGGAAAGCCCGAGGTGATGCAGGTCTCAGACGTTTACCACTTTGGTGAAACCCACGAGCGCGGGTATGGTGCTGACAAACCTAGAAACATCATCGGAGTGAACCGGGATTCAAACCCACAATCATAGGTTTCTGGCATGCACAAGGGATGCAACTCTGCACAGCGAATAGCAGCGCCTAAGACAACTGGGCCACCTGTGGCCCCCCCATGACATTTAGGAGATTAACATACTGTGTTTTCAATGTAGAGCAAGGTTAGCTGTAGATTTAACCGCACTAAACTGAATTTGGAACCAAACTCGCAGTGTAAGGTTTCAAATGTTAGTTTAGCCCCATGTTTATCTCCATTCTACCATGACTTAATAAAACGCGAACTCTTTGATGTCAGCAAATATATTGAGTTAAGCGGCATGGGTTCAGTCTAGTGTTTTGAGTGGGTTGTCGATCTGAATTACGGAATCACCAACAACAGCCCTTAACAAAATATGGCGCTGTATATGCTCAATCAGTTTGTTTACATCGCAATACTTCACTCAAACATATGACAGGCTTTGAAAGCAGCACGGCAACTTGGGAAGCTAACATGAGGTGGGCATCCCTAAAGAAAACTAAGCAAGCTTTGCAATGCTTTTGTTCTACACTGCATGTCACCATTATGACGTCATATCTCTCATTGTGACACAAAAGATATGACGTCACAGTCGTATATAGAATTCCAAGCTGTCTGTTGTCTCCAAAACTTAAATAAATTTTTTTGTAGATTTCTGTCATGTTGTCTGCATGAAATGTATTGCCACACATCCTTTGAATATTGTAGTAACCGCAACTGTGCACTTTGTAATCTGTAATTGTATATATAATTATTTAAATATGTCTACCGACAATGACTGAAAAATTGTACTATTCTATGAATAGGATCTACACGGGTCTATCAAAACGCACAGTACACCACTCTAGTTCACGCTGACTGCAAGGACCCTAAGATTAATTATTGGGGGTCCTCTGGTCAAAACTGACCGACTCAACGTTACTTACCTTACACTGTAATCTGTCTTCTAAAGACCCTTGGACCATGTGTTGATAGACTAGACATAGGGCGGGTCCATCTATTGCATATCCATACAGATTCACAATATTCTCATGCCGATACCTGAACAGAAACAGTAGGATCAGTTGCTGAATTAAAGACTCATTTTTAAGAAGAATAAGGGTTAACTAAAAATCTGTAAACTCAGCATTTCATACCGATAAGTGCCCAATGGTAACCCACTCAGTTACTGACTGACAATATTTTTCTGATAATATACAGCAACTCAAAAAGCCTAAAAGCCATTTACTGGATTCTCAAATTTTATTCTTAATAAAATCATTTTGTTTCAGATTTAAATAAAAAAGTGTGAAAATTGGAATCCAAGTTACTGTCTCTACACACCTTTTCACCCCAAAAGCTAACAAGCTATTTTTTTAATTTATGAATTTTTAAAACAAGAAATGGTTAAAAAACATGCTTCACAAATAGGCTGTATGTTAGGAAGACATATTTTCCCCACAGCTCTTTGTTTGTTTGTTTGTTTAGCGCTGTACTCAGAAATATTCCAGCAATATGATAGCAGCCTGTAAATAATCGACCAGTGATTGACATCATGAGCACTGATCCACACAATTGGGATACGATGACGAAGTCAGCAATCCAGATCACCCAATCAAGTTATCGCTTCTTACGACAAGCATGGGGTAATGAAGACCAATTCTATCCCAGATCTTCACCGGACCAGGCAAGACTTTATTGTGTGCGACACATTCATTCCTCAATACTGTGCAGGGTTTTAAATGTATCATCATTTCTCTTACCTTAATAAGGCTGTCAGCTCACTAAACTGTACTGATTTGTCTCCCTTCAGATCTTTGTTTTCCTAAAATTAGGACAAGAAAATATATATTAAACATAGACATATCAACTCTAAAAACCAATCTCAATAAAATCATCCAATCAAACCAAACTCAACTTCCCAACAAACATACCTCTCTGCTTGATTTTTGATTTGGTTTGGTTTGTTGTTTAACGCCGCACTCAGCAATATTCCAGCTATATGACGGCGGTCTGTAAATAATCAAGTCTGGACCAGACCATCCAGTGATTGACAACAGGAGCATCAATCCACGCAATGCTTGAAGATGTTATCACATCAGGTAAACTTTCTAAACAACCTATCAGTGTCAAGGCTTCCAAATTCTCGATATTAGTGAGGAAAGCATTTACCTTTAAGACAAACATGCAGTTCCAAATGAAAATAATAAAGGTAAGGACATGAAGTTGAATGATTTTAGAAAGCTGATATCTGATTGGCTGAGAACTCCATGCATCCTTTTTTAAGTTTGGACGGGGTGACCTCACCATGCAGCCACCTTTTGTTAAACATTTTAGGATGACCAGTGCAGCGAAGCATGGTGATTGGTTGAGGAGCCACAAAAAAATACAGTAACTGACAGTAACTTCTGATTATATATGTAAACTGTAAAGAAATATTACACTTGAAGATTGAATTTGACCAAAATATTCCAAATGTTATCAAAATATTACCAGGCTGAAAATTCAACTACTACAGCTACTACAAACACAACTACTACTACAAATACAACTACTACAAACACAACTACTACTACAAACACAACTATGATACCTGTATCAAATAAATCACCATTGAATAACCATTTCTTATTGGTTTCATTTTTAGCATGGGTGTATTATATATTTTGCTGTGTATATCAATATCTTAGCATGATACAATTAATAATAATAATAACTACAGATTTATATAGTGCTGGTATCCAGTTCAAAGAACTGCTCAAAAGCGCTTCATTTGAGTCTACACAAAAAAGAGACATTACACAGCTAGGAAAACACAAAGCCTCAATACTCCGAGAAAGATTTGGTGAAAAGATAGGTTTTGAGTCTTGATCGGAACAAAGTAGGACTGTCAATGTTCCTGATATCCAATGGCAGCCTATTCCATAGCTCAGGGGCAACTTTGGCGCAACTCCGACCTCCAAAAGTCGCCGTTCTAACACTAGGCACAGAGAGTAGGGACTGGCAGCTTGATCTGAGAGATCTCCCAGGCACATACTCTTCAAGAAGCTCGCTGATATAAGTTCGTTTTTTATTGTGTCTTGCATTGAACACAATCAACATAACTTTATACTTGATTCTCTCATTGGTTTTGAGCCAGTGGAGGTTCCGTGATATGGTCAAACTTATTGAATTTAGAATTAGAAATACATTCACAGTCCATGAAATGAGACACCACATAAATATTTTTTAGGATGTATTTATGAAATTGTGTGCTCATTCTTCACTATAAAAAAAATATTGGCACCAAGAGGAGGTGTCTGTGTTGCAGAATCTTATTATCGACTCCCCGATATTTTCTTCCTTTGGGACAACAACCAAGTGATGAGAGGTATATATGCATGACATGTGACAAGCAGCAGCTTATCATTGACAACAACAGGTAATGGATAAAACAAGTGGCAAAAAGATAATTGGATGATGCCAGATGTACAGTTAGAAAAACAAATGACACACAGGTATTGATATCTAGCTGTATACAGGCCTTTGATCATTTACCTCTGTGCCATGTGTTCGGTGAGGTGGATTGGGGTTTAATGTCATGTTCAAGGTTACTGCACTATATAGCGACGTGCATGCATGTGTGTATATGTGTCTGACTGCTTGTACTTGACCAGACTGATGCTAGTTTTATAGTGCTAGCCCACTGAGACACCATGCCGCAGTTTAATATGAATACCCTACTCAGACACAGTATACTGACTCCAAGCCGACCAGTCCTTGCTTTAGCCCCTTAATACCAAGCGCGGGGCGGTCGGGTAGCCTAGTGGTTAAAGTGTTCGCTCGTCACGCCGAAGACCCGGGTTCGAATCCCGACATGGGTACACTGTGTGAAGCCCATTTCTGGTGTCCCCCGCCGTGATATTGCTGGAATATTGCTAAAAGCGGCGTAAAACCAAACTCACTCACTCACTCACTCACTAATACCAAGCGCCAGGCAGGGTAACAACAAGTATCATCTTTAAAAGTCCTCACCCCAGACCTTCCACTCTATGGGAGGATGCTCTACCACTACACCACAGAGTCGGTCTGCAATGTATTGACCATGACCTGTTGTTATATTATATCATGTATATACCTGGGTTCGATTCCCGACATAGGTACAATGTGTGAAGCCCATTTCTGGTGTCCCCTGCTGTGATATTGCTGGAATATTGCTAGAAGCGGTGTAAAACTATTATAAAATGCTAAAAGCAATAATGCCAAAAGTTGTTATCCATGAAGCTGTATGTTTTCTTATAAACCAACCAACTTCTAAAATGCCAATCAAACAGGTTCTTAAACGTTAATAAGTAATTTTGCAAAACACTACTTCTTTGAATATTTTGTTAATGGAAGTTAGCTTATCACCACAAAGGGAAGATAACTCCAAATTTGTGACATACTGCAGGTAATATTAAGTTTATGTTCAAAGATTTGGTTGGTTTGTTGTTTAACGCCGCACTCAGCAATATTCCAGCTATATGACGGCGGTCTGTAAATAATCGAGTCTGGACCAGATAATCCAGTGATTGATTTCATGAGCATCAATCCACGCAATTGGGATTGATGACATGCATCAACCAAGTCAGCGAGCCTGACCACCCGATCCTGTTAGTCGCCTTTTACGACAAGAATAGTCACCTTTTTCGGCAAGCATGGGTTTGCTGAAGACCTATTCTACCCCGGAATCTTCACGGGTCTTGTGTTCAAAGAAAGTGTTTATATGTTTGTGACCTCTTCACTTCATAAGTCGGATCCTACAACAAGTATGGGGTAGTGCTGTAGGGCTGGGACGAGTCCAAATTTACTAACCAGGTACTCACCCCCCTATTACCCGACCCCGGGTACCCACTGTAGGTCTCAAGAGATACAAAATGTCCGATTTGGAATTTCTTTTTACCACAGCACTTGCAAAACGTATTTAGATACATGTATTAAACGATCTGGTCATGCATATACTGAAGTTGACTTCAGTTATATCTTTATTCAACCATATAAAAAGTGGACATGGTGGAAGGAATGGGTGCATAGTCAGAAAGAAATGCCAACATTAGAGATTTGTAGAGTAACCAAAGAGCTCTAGATATCTTTGTCATTAAACTAGGGCTGGGACGGGTACTCGGGTCCTAGTCAGTACCCAACCGACCCGGGTACCCACAGGACTACCTGGACCCGTGGTTAGCCACATGATATATTGTTTCATGACAAAAATCATTACATAACTGAATGGTTATATGACAATTTTAAGTCTGTAATGTTCGCATTTCTTCATTAATATGAACACGTTCCTTCGAACTTAAATATGTTTAAACAAAGATAAAACTTCAGTCTACTTCAGTGTATGCATGACACACACATCGTTTTTTACGTGTATCTAAAAACTGTCTGCCAGGGCTACTGTCAAACTATTCCAAATCGGACATTTTGTACCTATCTCTTGACACCAACAGCGGGTACCCGGGTAGGGTCGGGTAATAGGGGTGTTGGTACCCGGGTAGTAAATTTGGACTCGTCCCAGCCCTACATTAAACTATATATCACATGACTAACCACGGGAAGGTAGTCCTGTAGGTAGTCCTACTCAGTACCCACCCGACCCGGGTACCCGAGTTACCCGTCCCAGTCCTATAGCGGGGACTATCCTGCCCCAGAGTAACACGCTAGTGGAAGATTACTAAACTGTGCAGGACAAGTAAACATCCAATGACAGCAGTCTTCATCGACCAGTAGCATTTGAAAGCTATGATTCTGAAACAGTTCTCAATGCTTCAAACTGATAAAAATGTAAACATAGTTCACATTAGTCATCTGAACTAGTCTAAAAAATAAAAATTTCTCAAGCTGCACAAGGTTTAACTATTGTGGCACGTGGTCCTGTGTACAGCGTCTAGGTCACAAACCAGGCAAAATTAAGCAATGTTGGTTGTGGAGAGCAGTTGGAAGGGTTACTGTCAGACACCTGAGAGTTTCTAGGACTTCGGTCCTGCCCCACACTGACGCACAGGTAGCACATGTGGTGTCTCCTTAGACAAGTGACATTGCTCGAAATGTGTCTCCGTTCAGCCAGCTGTGACTGGGAACCCGGTGGGATGTGAATGTAATGACCGTTAACCTTCTAGCACCTCACAGGCAGCTTGGGTTGGATACTCCCTAAGGAGCTGAGAATGTAATGTTCATACTGATCTGTTGACCGGGGTAATAATACTGCAGCGCTTTGAGTATGCCCCTGATTAGTATGCAAATATAGCAAAATATAAATGGCCTATTATTATTATTATTATTATTATTATTATTATTATAATAAAACAAATCATCAAAATTAAAACAAAAAACAAAAAAAAACTGTTTACCTCATCCAGCTTCTTGATCGCACACCTGGAACACCTCAGTAGGCCTTGATACACAGTTCCGAATGCGCCAGCACCAAGTTTATGTGAAGAACTGAACCCTTCTGTAGCCTCAAACAGTTCCTTGTATTCAAAGAATGGTGTGCCCACCAGAGCCGCGGCATCATTGAAGCTCAAACTATCACTTTTTATGTAACTTTTCAAACTCTCAAATCCCTTCATTGGATCAGACTTCTCAATCGAATCAAAGTCAAAAGAAGAGGAATCCGTGCTTTCTGAAGCTTTTGAGCTTTTGTTGTCTGTTGTTGATACAGATTCTTGAGGAACACGTTTTCCAAACATCGACGATCCTGATGTGTTGGAATTGGTACTCTTTGTGCCTGGAATCACTTTATCGTCATACTGTTTCTCCTTCTCGGAAACATCAGCATGGATTTTGGACGACACTTTAGATTTCGTGGCTGTTCCTTTCATTTGGTTAAAGTTGATAACATCGGAATCGGAATCATCCGTCGGCTGTTTTGGAGGGGGTGGCTTTGGTAGATCTGGTAAAAAAATATAATTAAATTGTTTTATGCAAAAAATACATAAATATGTTCCTGGTCCCTGCCTGTTCCATTTTCAATCCCCTGCATCAAGCTTTTTTATTTTCCAAGGGCAAGTAACTCTAACCGCCTTTCCCAAAATGGAAGCATAAACTGCACATGCAGTCTGCATGTGAGTGATGAGTGGGGTGGGTAGATTACTGAACCTGGGGAACGGGCATTCTAATCATGGAGACAAATTTGCTTTCCTCCAGAAATTTACATTTCGGGTTTGAGCTTGTCAAAATAAAAAATGAAAAAAAGATATGTCGGTAAGGTGGAGACTTAATAATGTTTTAGTTAAACTCATTTTCGGCGACAAGGTCCAAACTTGTATCTATGGAAACAGAAAAAAATAAAGCTTACTGAGGAAATCATAACAGCAAAAGCTTCGTAAATGTAGTCCTTGTCATGCTTATAGCTTTAGCCCCAAAATTGATTTTGGGACACACAGACACATGGGTGGAAGGACAGACCTGCTTCGATATTCTCAGCCAACTTCGCAGTGGCGGGCATCATAAGGGAAGCAATGATAAATGGAGTAACCTGTACCAGATCAAAATAAAAACCTGCACAATGCAAGTACGTATTTTATTTGTGGTTGCCACAACCAGGCATCTTACACAATGAACACCGTGCTTCTTGAAAAAGTAAACAAAGTAATTGTACAAATATCTTGACAATTACTCTCGTTTCATCATGTATCAAGTTTCTTCGAGTTTTTAAATAGAATTTGAATTTAATTTGAATTGAAGAAATTTGAAGTAAGATACATTTGAATATATAAGAGAATTCAGATATTAATATAAGACAACTACCGTATTCGACGTAATAAGCACCCTGGGCGCTCTCAAAATTAGAAATAGGAGGCTCTTATTAGAATATGATTTTGGTGAAAAAAACATATATGAAAGATAAATTTCGTGGTTTATGCTGACAGCCTGAAATGTTTATGTACGACAGATGTATTTTTCCAGAATTTAATTGCCCATAATTAAGGGTGCATATAACACACGAGTGTGTATTATACGCGAACAAATAAGTCTTGTGTACATTGATCAATCGGAAGGGGTGCTAATTGGGATTGTTCACTAGCCAATTTATTAGCAAATATCGCCGTGGGTGCTTATTAGAGCGGGTCGCTTATTAAGTCGAATACGATAACTTAATAGGTAAATAATTAAACTTGTTGTCAGTGCCAGATGGACAGTCCAAACAGGATAAAATTGTCCTTTATTTACTAACCATCTGTATTGATACCCGAGAGACTTGGGACAGGTCTGTTTGATGGAGCTTGTTCCTCAAAGTCGTTGTTCAAGGCCTTGTCCGGCTTGTAGGGCTTGGCCTCCTTGGCAGAAGCAACTGAAACACATTAAAGCATTCCTGGCTGATTCCATATGTACAGACATGATTAAGGGACCTTCACCTTCACCATCAATGTTTGCGTTTACGGCGTCCCATGTTATTAGTTATGGTGTTTTTCGTTGCCGTATAAGATGTCATATTAGGTTAGTAAAAGAAAATCACAATTTATGATAAGAAAACACAAAACAGTGTCGAATAACGAATTTCAATGTGAAATATGGGTGGTGGGTGGTGGAAAATCCAAAATGGCTGATAACGATGGTATACGGTCTCATATTAGGTCAGTAACAACCATCTTGGATTTTTACTGACGGTATACAGGCTCATGTGGGGTTAGTAGTTCTGCTCTCTGATTGGCCAATCTTACTTTGAGGCAAAATAAACAAAAATATGCAGTGAAAAAAATTGGGGCACAAAAAAGAAAAGATAAACCTACACACAACCCGTTATGCTTTTTTTATTATGAAAAAAAGTTCACTTTACGCATAAGTTATTGTTGTTTTGTTTCGAGTTTCTCATGCCTCCAAAAAAGTCCATGTGATACACACATAAAAACAGACACTTAAAATTTCAACCAGACACTTTATTTGTGCCGAGAATGGCTTAAAGTACAACCATTACAGGTCTACATTTGAAAAATTACATGGGTGGGGCATACACCCAACTCCTCTTGATAGCTTCGCGTCTGCGCCCCTTGTGGCTAACACGTTCAAGGGGACCCCATTATTTTGGAGATCATTGCAAACACTGGAATGTTTACATCTGAGTTTTACATGTCACATCTAAACCAACAGAGGGCACAGGTGGCCACGTCGTCTGAGGTGCCACAATCTTCTGTGCAGAGTTGCGTCCCTTGAGCACACCAGGAATCTATATTGTGGCTAACACGTTCAAGGGGACCCCATTATTTTGGAGATCATTGCAAACACTGGAATGTTTACATCTGAGTTTTACATGTCACATCTAAACCAACAGAGGGCACAGGTGGCCACGTCGTCTGAGGTGCCACAATCTTCTGTGCAGAGTTGCGTCCCTTGAGCACACCAGGAATCTATATTGTGGCTAACACGTTCAAGGGGACCCCATTATTTTGGAGATCATTGCAAACACTGGAATGTTTACATCTGAGTTTTACATGTCACATCTAAACCAACAGAGGGCACAGGTGGCCACGTCGTCTGAGGTGCCACAATCTTCTGTGCAGAGTTGCGTCCCTTGAGCACACCAGGAATCTATATTGTGGCTAACACGTTCAAGGGGACCCCATTATTTTGGAGATCATTGCAAACACTGGAATGTTTACATCTGAGTTTTACATGTCACATCTAAACCAACAGAGGGCACAGGTGGCCACGTCGTCTGAGGTGCCACAATCTTCTGTGCAGAGTTGCGTCCCTTGAGCACACCAGGAATCTATATTGTGGCTAACACGTTCAAGGGGACCCCATTATTTTGGAGATCATTGCAAACACTGGAATGTTTACATCTGAGTTTTACATGTCACATCTAAACCAACAGAGGGCACAGGTGGCCACGTCGTCTGAGGTGCCACAATCTTCTGTGCAGAGTTGCGTCCCTTGAGTACACCAGGAATCTATATTGTGGCTAACACGTTCAAGGGGACCCCATTATTTTGGAGATCATTGCAAACACTGGAATGTTTACATCTGAGTTTTACATGTCACATCTAAACCAACAGAGGGCACAGGTGGCTACGTCGTCTGAGGTGCCACAATCTTCTGTGCAGAGTTGCGTCCCTTGAGCACACCAGGAATCTATATTGTGGCTAACACGTTCAAGGGGACCCCATTATTTTGGAGATTATTTCAAACACTGGATTGTTTACATCTGAGTTTTACATGTCACATCTAAACCAACAGAGGGCACAGGTGGCCACGTTGTCTAAGGCGCCACAATCTTCTGTGCAGAGTTGCGTCCCTTGAGCACACCAGGAATCTATATTGTGGGTTCGAATCCCAGTTCACCCTGAATATGTTTCTTGGTTTGTCAGCGCCATACCCGTGCTTGTGGTTTCACCAAAGTGGTAACGTCTCAGACCTGCACTACTTTCGGGCTATTCAAGGCAGCATTAGATCCAACACACTCACTCTATACTAACAGTTGCAAACAAAACAAAACTGTATGGGAATCTCAAAAGTTCCTCTCACAAATATGCACGGACAGCAATTGTCAAGTTGATATGTCATATCGTATGAGCAATATTTCTGGCTGTCAGCCAAGTCACTGAGTCCACTTAAGCCGCCTGTTTTAACAAGCTATAGATTGCTGGGGAGATATTCTAAACTGGGCGCCCCACAGGGTTTCCAGTTCAGGATTTTCGCTCCATTCAGTGATTACATGACAAAGTACAGTCAAGTCTCGTTAATCCGACACTCGTTAATCCGACACTCGGCTTTATCCGACACAAATGATGGTAACCGATTGATTCAGTGCTATTTAGTCCCGTTAATCCGACATTCTCGCACTCCGACTCAGACACACCTAATTTGCAACGAATTGCCGAAATCACTCATTAATCAGTCTCGTTAATCCGACACAGTGATCAGCGTACTCCGTGGTCATCTGCCCGCGAGTACACAACCCCGTGTTTTGACACGCACTGACTGCAGAGATTAACTTAACAATTAACAGGAAAAGCTATTCAAACCTGTCGACACAACTAATGTGAAATGTCACTTTTTGCCACCAAATACAACAGCGCACATTCAACACTGAAAGACTATTTTAAGTAGATGAAGCAAGTTGTCAAGACAGTAGCACTTGCATTTACACGAGGAAACGTGTGTCGTTGATGTGATTAATTCAGTGAGTAATGTCTCTATTGTTATGTATAAATGGGAAAATTATTATTATTTTTGCACATTCATTAATTATAAATTAAGGAATGAATGAATAAACAACATAACAATATTTATATTTCGTTTTTAATGATTTTATTACAAGGTACACACGGTAATTATCTATCGTGAAGACGTCCGATTTTCGATCACAAATCACTTAATTTCATTAATCCGACATACTCGTTAATCCGACACAATCATGTGCAACCAACGAAGTCGGATTAACGAGACTTGACTGTACATGCTAAAGACTCATTGTCAAGGATATCATCGAGACATCTTAATGAACTTGTATACAAAGTCTACAAAACAATATTTCTGTGTGTGACAGGCATTATAGGAGGTTTGCATCATGAGAACCCTGAGTAAACGTCGGTCGCCCAATCCAACTGAAGGATGCATGTTATTTAGCCAATCAGATGTCAGCTCTCTTTACCACCTTGATTTTGATTTCAGCTAAAGTCAACCGACACAGTACACAAATATTCCAAGTGTGAAATCAGCAACACCGGAAATGCTCGTTAAATCTACAACATCATTATCATCATCAACAGAGAGTACATCCCTCTTGGTGTCAGAAACAACAGATGCATCAAGTTTCCACAACACAATGTGAGCTATTATTATTTCCATTTGGAACTGCCCATTTATGTTTCAAGATACAGAAAATCAGATATACTGTTCTGAATGCTTTTTTCACTTGTTTCTAGAATTTAGAATTCTCAGTGCTGATTGGCTGATTAGAAAGTTCCCCTGAGACCTGCTATGGAGGATTTGTCAGATTTACCAGCAGAATGAAATCGTTTCGGAGTAAAAGATCTGATTTTATTGAGAGAGCACCAAGGACACATGTTCATTTTCCAATAAGGAAATATTGTTTGTCCCCAAATGTGACATTGATGTAAGTGATGTCAAACTGCTAAAATTTCACTTACCATAATTTTCCAGGATTTGCATATCTCGAACACGATTGAGGACCCTCAGTTTATTATAGAGGTCTTTGACTGTGGCATTACGGCTCCCCCAGTCCCAGAGTAAGGCTTTAGTGGGGCTACCACTGTACTTTTGATACTCAAGCTCAAAATACTTGATCTTATCGAAGCTGTAACCAATCTCACCAGCTGAAAGGAAAAAAATGAAATATGTCTTAATTCCTTCTCGCAATTATTGTTGTTGATCAGTTTCCAGGGCAAGAGTGAGTGAGTTTAAATTTAACGTCACATCAGCAATATTTCAGCCATATCGTGGCGAACATGAGTCTATGGTGCCAAAATTTGCAGAGTTGCATCCCTTAGGCATTGAAGGATCATGGGTTGGAATCTCTTATTTGGCCTGATTATGATCCTGCTAAAGTGATAAACATCCAGACCGGCATCACTGAATTCAGAACTTCCTCCCACAGTGAGTGAGTGAGTGAGTTGGTTTAACGCCGCTTTTAACAGTATTCCAGTAATATCACTGCGTGTCAGCTTAATGTTGGAGGAAAGCCCAAAGTGATGCAGGTCTCAGACGTTTACCACTTCGCTGAAACCCATGAGCACGGGTATGGTGCTGGCAAATCTAGTAAGATAATCGGGGCGAACCGGGATTCGAACCCACAGTCAAAGGTTTCTGGCGTGTTCAAGGGACGCAACTCTGCACAGCGAATCGCGGCGCCTTAGACGACTGGGCCACCTGTGCCCCCACTTCCTCCCGCACTAAACAGACCTACGACCACACTCACAGATGTTACAGATTTTGTTACAAATATTCCTCACAAACATAAAATAGTATATAACAACCCCTTTTTACTAGGGTAGATAAAAATCAAAACAAATTGTAACAATTTGAAATTTCCTTAAGTGATTAATCTTAATTCCTTTATCCAAACAAACTCACATAACCTGACCTCACCATTTGTACGTCACAAACTGTCTATTACACTGGCCTATGTAGCATAGCAGAATTAACTATCATTCAAACTGTCAAAGAGCTGTCTCCACAGTCGCGAAACGTCACGATTATTCTCGTGAACCTACCAGCACAAGGCTATAAGCAACATGACTTGATATAGATAAATATTAAATACGATGCGTAGATATCGCCGCTAGCTGTAATATTTGGGATTGTAGGAACTTCCTATTACCATCTCCATACTATGTACATACGCGTCTTCGTCTACCAATCATGTGAACGGAATCACCGCATTGGTTCGTACAAGGACGTAGCCAGCTTCTGAAGGATCTTGCCTAACCGAGACACTCGTTGACTTTGACTTTTGCAGAGGCATTCGAAGACAACTTACCTAAATGCTCCCATGACTTGTCAGCGTCCATTGACATAATAATTTCTCTTGTAACGCTATAGGGAATCTCGTAGAGACACTTCCCCTGCGCCATGTCTATGGTGGCTTGACACGTCCTTGACCTTGGATGAAAATAAAACAAAATGTGAGTGGCTGGGGCTTCCCCTCGACGTCACGACATGAATATTCATAAGGCTAACTTCCGGGTTCATCACACTGGAATCGTTGAGCGAGACCGTGTAATGTGCGCATATAAGAAAAAGGGATGATGAATGTACCTTACGTCGCTGTCGTTATGGTAACATACTAACAGGGCACTATAAGATATACAGTCTAACGACAGAGGGCTTTGTTTTATATGACCTACATATTGTGTAATAGATTGCGTCTATATCAGTTTGGCCTCAAACGCAATTTTAGCATCCATATCAGATGACATAGATTTCTTTGAAAGCAGGCGCCACTACTTGGAAATTATGTGAAAGGATGTTTGTTTGTTTGTTTGTTTGTAAAAAACCCAACATGTCCGGTTATTGCATGTGAGCAACTGTCGATGGATATTAGGCGCTTTACAAATCAATTATTATTATTATTATTATTTGCTTTGTGTTATAAAAAACGTTTATGTTGGGGTGTATTTATTATGTATATGATTCAGAATTATATTGGATGAATTAAGTACGTTGTATATTTTCACTAAAGCGGTTTCTATGAAGATTAGAGTGTCAGTGTGTGCGGCAGCTCCGACACAGTGTTTGGGAAAAGGAGTGTAGCATTTTGCTATTTGGAAATTCGCGTTTTGCAATGATGCAATTTAGTTTTAATATTTCACCAATATTGGTCATTGTGTTGACATACATGTATATTCATTATGGAATCCGACCACCTACAAAATTCCTGAATATAAAAAATGTTTTAAATCAGAATGTTTCAAAAAGGTGTGTGTGTGCGCGCACGTGTGTGTCTGTCTGTGTGTGCGCGCGGTGCGTGCGTGCGTGCGTGCGTGTGTGTGTGTGTGCGTGCTTGTGTGTGTGTGCTATCCAATAACACATATGCTATGAAACCTTTAAGATTCCTTTAGTACACACAAGTACATCTAGCACAAATAAAACTAACTATTTAGGTAAACAATTCGTGTCGGTACCGTAACAACTACCGTTTTATCAGGCAGCAATGTAAATTTACTTACTGTTAGGGTCGCGAAAGTGTCAGACAGTTTGTACAGTCACATACCAGCTTAAACGCCCAAATCACCGCTTACTTGCAAGTCATTGCAGCTGACATACATAGAATGTTCCGCCCTATCAAAGGTGATCGGTAACACCAATGTTATATTATCATATCTCTTGTGATATTACCATAATTCTCACTCGGAAATGATCAATCTCGTTTAAGGATATCTTGACGAGGAATCTTGTCAGGTCATGACTGAGTGAGTTGGGTTTAACGCCGCTTTAACGGCATTACAGTTACATCGTTACAGGTCTCAGACGTTTACCACTTCGGTGAAACCCACGAGTACGGGTATGGTGCTGACAAACCTAAACACACAATCGGGGCGAACCGGCATTCGAACCCACAATCAAAGGTTTCTGGCGTGCCCAAGGGACGCAACTCTGCACAGCGAATCGCGGCACCTTAGATGACGGGGCCACCCGTGCCCCCTTATCAGATCATGGCCGAGCCACGGTACTGTCACATGTATTAGCTGTTGGAGACTCAACGTCCGGCCAAATGCAAGGGGAAACTGATAACACGCATGCACATTGCCTCAATGACAAGTGATAAGTTTATACAGATTATATAATGTAGAGTAATAAGTGATAAGTGTTAATAAGCTTCCGTGTGTATTAATATTACATCTAACGGAACAACCGTCATTTGGATTTTTTAATGGCACTTATATACATATATATAAAAGTGACAATCAAATATCAAATATCACACGAGCGGAAATCTAACGGAACACACCTCATTTGGATTTGGCACTTAATTATTTTTATTATCTATATAAAGACAATGTCAACTCATGTCAAGTCGTGTAGTGTCATTTTAAGTCATAGAAACACTACCAACTATACTGACTAACTTCAACACACGGGTATATATCCATAGCGCAATTCAAAGAGACCAAATACATGACAATTTGTGTTGATTCAGAAGTGAATGAGTGAGTGACACGACTGTCAGCAATTGTACATGCATTTTTATATGGGCGGTCTGTAAGTTCGTTCCTTGTTGTTTTACGCCGCATTCAATAGTGTAACATAAAGTTTAAAGTGTTCACTCTTCACGACGATTCCAAACACGGGGGCAAATGAGTGACGCCCATTTGTTTGACAGGAACATCCTTTAGGGACAAGTCATTCAACAATTTTGTACTTGTTGTTGCTCAGCAAAATTTCAGCTATATAACTTCAGTACTGGCTTCCATACTATTAGGGGCGGTCGGGTAGCCTAGTGGTTAAAGCGTTCGCTCGTCACGCCGAAGACCCGGGTTCGATTCCCGACATGGGCAAAATGTGTGAAGCCAATTTCTGGTGTCCCCCGACGTGATATTGCTGGAATATTGCTAAAAGCAGCGTAAAACCAAACTCACTCACTCACTCCATACTATCAGCGCTATCACTGTAAAGTGTTGGCTTCCATTGTCTATTGCTTATCACCTATCATCGCCAATCATCTGTTAGCTCCCCTTGTGAGTTTCTACCCTTTGTTATTTTCCATCTTTTGTTATCTTATTAATTTTGTTGTCCTTACATGTACATATATATGCCCTCTGCCTCATGGCATTCATTCACCTGATAAAGGAGTAAGCATATACCCCGAAATGTTGTGTTCCTCAAAATAAAGAAGTTGACATCCATAAATTCTCTTCCTTATGTGTATGACTTCTAAATGCCTTTCAAAGACCCTATATAACGTCGGCCTGTAAATAATCATGTCTAGATTAGACAATCCAGTGACTGATATTACGAGTAGCGCCCCACTCCGCCGGGGTACGATAACGCACATTGTACCATGAATTTGGAAATTACTCGATTCTGATTGGTCAATCAGAGGTTGTCAATTAAGAAATTAATTTCACATTGTGGTGGTTTACTGGAATATGAACGCTTTGAACCGTGCATGTTTAAATCATATATAAGATAGCTACGCGATAAATCGCAAAGAACAATGAAAAATGAAGTGTGGTTTATTTCACGATAAAACATTGTTCTATCATGACGTCATGCCTGGAGATTCGAACATGCATGCACTCGCAACTTGATGACGTCGTAAATTGGACGACGTCATTTTTTAGAGGGAAGTGTCTTTGGTTGGTTGGTTGGTTGGTTTGTTGGTTTGTTGTTTAACGCCGCACTCAGCAATATTCCAGCTATATGACGGCGGTCTGTCAGTAATCGAGTCTGGACCAGACAATCCAGTGATTAATATCATGAGCATCGATCCACGCAATTGAGATCGATGACATGCATCAACCAAGTCAGCGAGCCTGACCATCCGATCCCGTTAGTCGCCTTTTACGTCAAGCATAGTCACCTTTTATACGGCAGGCATGGGTTGCTGAAGCCCTGTTCTACCCCGGAATCTTCACGGGTGTCTAGAGTGAGTTGTTCCCCATAGATGTAGCTGGACAACGCAGATGAACGCAATGGCAGAGAAATCGCACCCTAAATTGGGTGAATTATGACAAATGGTATTAGGAGAAAATGTGCAGATAATCAACGTGATAATTGTGAAAATACATTTGTTTATTTGTGATAATGGTATTAAGGGAGTCATCATTATTTTAATACGGGTAAATGTTTTAAGAGCTTGTAAATTTATCAACATCCTTAAAGAGGCTGTACAACATGTTGATATGTCATATAAGAAATAAACGACTGTGGTCTTTCATCGTACAATATAACATACAATATTCAAAGAATGTGTGGCAATACATTTCGTTCTCAAAACATGATTGCAATCTACAAAGAGACTATATTTTAGTTTTGGTAACAACAGAGAGCTTGGAATTTGCCACTTTTCTATATACGACTGTGACGTCTTTTGCGTCATAATGGTGACGTGCGGTGTAGAACGAAAGCTTTGCATAGCTTACTTAGTGTCCTTTTTGGGGATGCCCACCTCATGTTATACCAAGTGGACGTGCTCTCAGTGCCTGTTATATGTTCGAGTAAAGTACTACGGTGTTAACAAACTGCTTGAGCATATACAGCGCCATATTTTGTTAAAGGCTGTTGTCGGTGATTCCGTAATTCAGATCGACAACCACTCAAAACACTGGACTGAACCTATGCCGCTTCACTTAATATATTTGCGAACATCAAAGACTTCGCGTTTCATTTAGTCATGGAAGAATGGAGATAAACATATTGTGTTTTCAATGTAGAGCTTGGTTACCTGTAAATTTAACCGCGCTTATCTCCTATATCAACTAAATCGCCCCATACAAGTATAGGTTACTGTGGACGTATTCTAACCCGTACGTGCTTGCTTGCACTGGTCTTTGCGGTAGTTTTAGTCATCATTTCTATATTATATTTAAAATAATGACAAGTTATTCCCATGAAAGGGGACTGTCGGCTTATGTAAATTTGCCTGTTTCCAGGATAGAATTACTATACACCCATGGACTTCCAATTCAGCACATGGGGGCACGGTGGCCCAGTCGTCTAAGGCGCCGCAATTCGCTGTGCAGAGTTGCGTACCTTGGGTACGCCAGAAACCTATGATTGTGGATTCGAATCCCGGTTCGCCCCGATTGCGTTAAACCCAACTCCCTCACTCACTCATTCAATTTAGTACAGCCTTGGAGAAAGGTTAGGTGTAACTGGTGCACACGATATCAGTTCCTATAATTACAGTTAAAATTTGCGGGCGGTTATCGAGTTGGGTACCTACACCACGATTTTGAAAAAAAATGTATTTTATGAAAACATAAAACATATAAAAGCAAGTCTAGCCAGCTCTATTCCCCAGTCCATGAAATCAGCATCAGGCAAAAATGGTATGGAGGGGAAAAGGTATTCTGTAATGACATATTTCATAGACTACAAGTGTATGTTTTTTGGGGTGTCTACCCGATGTTGAACAGCACACGTGTGGCTAAAC